TAACTCCGCCCTGCCCCACAGTGGAGTCAGGAGTTTGTCCTCGCCCCGCCCTGCCCTCTCACCCCTGGGTCCTTTTTCGAGGGAGCCTTGTTTTCGAGGGAGACTTAAGTTTAACAGAGACTTTTCTTTGGACCCACATGCAACGGGCTCGATGTCGGAGGAACAAGGAGCATTTATAGCCAAAACTGGTTTGGCTCAGTGGATAGAGTGTCAGCCCAGGGACTGATAGGTCCCTGGTTTGATTCTGGTCAAGGGCATGTACCTTGGTTACGGGCATGTCCCCAAATAGGGGCGTGCAAGAGGCAGCTGGTGGATGTTTTTCTCTCATCAATGTTTCAAACTCTCTATCCCTCTCTCTTCCTCTCTGTAAAAAATCAGTAAAAATAAATAAGTAAATAATATATATATATATATATATATATATATATATATATATATATATATAAATTTTTTTTTAAAGGAACATTTATACAAAGACAAGTCCCAGCCTGTTGGTCTCTGGACAAGGGAGGCAAGCCCAACCGTATTTCCTGCAGCGCCGTGATGGTTGTGAGGGGTTCCAGACCTAGAAACCTGTTTTTCCCCCCAAGTCTCTAACTTCACTGAACACACAGACAGAGGCTATGCAGACATGTCAAATATGCAAACTATGTCCCTGCTGGGAATTTCTCCCGGGTGGGCCCTAAACTGGTTGAAAGTCCTGTTATCTCAGTCTGATCACGTGTGGACTAGACACACCATTTTCATTCCTGATAAATCTGTAGCAGGCATCATTGCTGCAGGAATCTCCCTACCCCTTCAAAGGGGCCTTCAGCTTCTCCGTTTCACTCACCCAGGCCTCCGGAGAGGGAGGATAGTGGCTGCAGGGGCAGCTCCCCGGGCTTCCTGGAGCCGGCCCCCACCCCCAGGGCCCAGCTCCCCCGCCCCGCTCGCAGGAGATGCCATGGGCAGCAGACCGTGGTCAGGGGGCGGCAGCAGCGTGGAGTCAGCCCGCCCTGTGTGCTCAGGGGTAGGTTCCTGTCCTAACAGGCACCTGCCTCACCCCCAGGCACTATCCCTGGGTCTCAGTCCTGGAAGCCACGAATAAACCTCATTGTTCGCATGCACTCAGGTCTTTTGAATGGAACCCCTGCCAGACTGAATGTTTGTGTGTATCCCCCCCCCCCCCCCCCCCAATATTTGTTGAAACCTAATCTCCAACATGATTTAGGAGGTGGGGCCTTAGATGATTAGGTCATCAGGGTGGGGCCCTCAGGATTGTTATAAAAAGCTAGTTCCTCTGTTTTCACGGAGAGAACAGAGGTGTCATCTCTGAACCAGGAAGTGGGCCGCACCAGACTCGGAGTCTGCAGGCACCTTGAGCTTGGACATCCAGCCTCGAGAACCGTAAGGAATCAATCTCTGTTCTTTATAAGCGGCCCAGTCTGTGGTATTCTGTGACAGCAGCCGTAGGGACCTAGACACCGCCTCTCCCTCTGCCTGTCCCACAACCTGCTCGGTCGGACTGCTCTTCTCCAGCTCTTGCAGAGCAGGCGTGGGAGTGGCCAGGACCCTCCTGCTCCCTGGGGTCCCTTCAGAAGTTCATCTCCAGGGCTGTCTCGGGCCTCTCCCCAGGGCCACCAATGGCCACTGCTCACTCCACTGCTGGACGCCCCTCTGCGTTTTGGCCTTGTCATCCTGGCTGGCTGGCTTCCAGCACTGGTTTCTGGACACTTCACTGTGTAAAGGGCGGTTTTGTCCCGTGTTGGAAAAATTATATAGTGTGCAGACTCTTTTAGATGCCGACTGGGGAAAAGTTCTGATTTAAAAACGTAGTGAAAGGATTTTTCAAAAATGGTGAGGCGGGTTAGGCAAGTTTTCTGTAGGTCAGTTTGGCAATACGCAATAACATTGCTGAAGAGGATTCTCCCCTTGACGCAGTAATTGCACTGTGACATGATTAGCACTTACCTTGACTATCGATTATTATGGTAAAAAATGAAAACTATTTGCCCAATAATAGTGCAATGGGTAAATCTATGATATGATTTATTTACTATGTTTTTGAAGAATATTAAACAGCTTTGAAAAATGTGCCTAATATCCAGTAAGAAAAGCATTATGCTTAATAGTATGATTATTTACAAATACTGAATATTGGTAGATTAACAGTGGTTCTACCGTATGTGGTGGGGAAAAGGTTTTTATTTTAAAAATATATATTGATTTTTTTACAGAGAGGAAGGGAGAGGGATAGAGTCAGAAACATCAGCTGCCTCCTGCACACTCCCTAATGGGTATGTGCTGGCAACCAAGGTACATGCCCTTGACCGGAATCGAACCTGGGACCCTTGAGTCCGCAGGCTGATGCTCTATCCACTGAGCCAAACCCATTAGGGCAAGGTTGTGACAGGTCCTCCCTTCTTCCAGTTGATGGACAGATGTAAGCCCTACCTGGGCTTTGTCTGAACCACCACATTCCTGAGCTCTGTCTGAAGACACCAACCAGCACCTGGCAAACACCCTAAGCCCCCGATTCCTAAATCACTAGGTCCCTAATCACCAATCAGCGTGTGCTGAGTGCCCTAAGCCCCGCACCCTATCCTTAAAAGTGCTTGCACGCCCAGCGCTTGCTCTCTTCCGCCCCTCTCCGTGGAAGTGGAAGCAGCCGGCAGGGGTACTCTTCCCTCCAATAAAGCCTGTGTGTGTCCTGCCATCAGGATCTCCGGTCTACCTTCTCTATTTCATCTATCAGGTTGTTTTTATATGTTTTTCTTTTAAATACTTTTCAAGATTTAAAAAAGTAATCAACATATATTAGTGTTGTCGGGGTGGGGAGAACACTGCAGTGTTTCTAAAATGATGTGGTTTCATCGCCAGGCGGCAGGAAGTCTTAGCCCCGGCACACGCTCCCGGGGGTGGTCAGCCAGGAACGGCCGAGCTGAGATCGCCGGCACCTGCCCCAGCCCCAGTTCTGAGTTCACTGGCTTGTGGCCGCGGATGGTCCCCCTTACAGCTCCCGTGTGGTCCTGAGGCGTCGCTGGGCCCCTCAGCGTCCGCCTCTTCCTTCCCAGTGACGGCGTGTGTCTTCAGGGGCTTGTGCACAGGCTGCCTGCCTGCCTGCCTGCTGGAGGCCCTCGGGCTGCCGGGGGGAGCCTGTCCTGGGGACAAGGTGCCTCACATTCCTTGGAGGCGGCAGCACAGGAGAGGGTGGGGGTTTGCCGCAGGTTTTTATGGAATATTCCCGACGGGAAGAAACTGGGAGGAAGGGAGCTGGACCCTCACTGATGTGACTTCCCGCAGGTTCCCTCAGCTGCAGAGAAGATGAGCCTGCCCAGGCCCGGGCGGGGCGGCCGGCCGCTGTTCCTGAGCATCCTGGGCCTCGCGGCCGCCGTCACCTTCCTGCTGTTCTACGCTCTCCTCTGGGAGGCGGGCGACCTCATCCACCTGCCCGACCTGAGGATCGGCTTCCACAACTTCTGCCTGTGGAACGAGAGCGCGGGCTGCCTGCGGTGCCACCGGTTCCCCGAGCTGGAGGCCCTGGGGCTGCCGCAGGCCGCCCTGGCCCTGGCCCGGCTCGGCGTGTACGGGGCCCTGGTCCTCAGCCTCTTCGTGCCGCTGCCGCTGCTGCTGGCCCGCTGCCGGGGCAGCGAGGGCGAGTGGCACCTGGCCGTGTGCTTCCTGGCGCTGGCCTCCACGCTGCTGGCCGGCGGCCTGGGCCTCTTCCTCGCCTACGCCTGGAGGTGGGTCACGCCCGCCCTGCTGGGGCCCGGATTCCTGGCTCTGGCTGCTGCTCAGGCCTTGCTCGTCCTCCTGCTGATGGCCACAGTCATGTTCCCCCAGAGGGCAGAAGATGCCAAGGGCAAGCTGGACAGCTGCTAGCTCTGACCGGAGGCTCCCGGGGCTGGTGGAAGGGGCCTCGGACAGGCGCCAGGGGACTCCCGGGCTGGTGTTTCCGCAGCCTCCCTGCTTTGTAGCTACACAGTCTTCACCGCGGGGAGTCTGACCTCGGGGCGTGAGCGGCTGGGCCCCCCTGAGGCAGGGGCTCCCGGCATGGGAGAGGCTGGGGCGGTGAGGGGGTCTGGGCCCTGGGCTTCTCAGTGTCGGCTTGTCTGTCCTTTGGGACCCACTAGCAGTTCTCCTTGTCACGGGAACTCCTGCTTTTTAACTGATCTGAGCAAACTGCTCTCACTTCCTTCTCGGGAGGGTGGCCAGAGAAGGCTTCCTGTCACAGGGCCAGTTTCCTAGGATGTTTGGCCAAACATGCTGACAAACGGGGAACACTGAGAGCACCTCAGTGTCCCCGGGGCCCTGGTTAGCAAGCTACCCCCTTTCCCACCCCTCCCAAAGGCCCAGGGGAAATGTCAGAGGGAGTCCCTGAAGTTCCCCTGAGCAAGGCTGCCGGGCCCCAAGCCGGACAGCAGGGAGTGAGTTGGCACGCCGTTCCTAACAGGGACCTGGGAGCAGAGCATGCCGAAACCTGGGGGGCGGGGGACAGGGAGGGTGAACAGGACTGAATGGTGCCACAAAAGCTGCGTCCCTTCACTGCTCAAGCTAGTCTTAGACCTGAAGGAAACGAGCACCACTGGTGCATGGGGAACTGTACTTTCCGCGCTGAATACTGAAAAGACTGTACAACGGCCGCCTGCCTGCCAAAAGCCACGCCGCCTGCAGAGGCGAGGCGGGCCCCGCCCTGACCTCCTGTCCTCACGTCCACTTCGGGAGCCTTCCGAGTGGCCAGGGGCCAAGGCCAAGGCCGCCAAGTGGAAGGAAGGGGGCAGCTCAGGGGAGGAGGCCTGTCTGGTGGGGAGGAGGGCTTGGACCGAAGGTGCCCCGGAGCGCTGAGCCCCAGAGCAGAGCACTGGGGGCGGAATGGCTTCGGGCGATGAGGGCGGCTGGGGGAGTGGCGGCTGGCTGCCTGCCTGCGAGGGACACTTTACATTCCGCTTCCTCCGCTCGGGGAGAGGGGCTGCCTACCCGGGGAAATTCTGGTGGACTTGGCGGCCATCCTTTTTTCTGTCTGAAAGGTATTAAACTGATTCCTCGGTGCCAATCAGTCTGACACTGCGACCTCATTTCCCCCGGAGCATGGTCACTGAACACACAGACAGACCCCTGTGCTGGGGGAGACAGAAGTCCTAGAATTCCTCTCGTCTGGATCCCTCACTCCCCCAGGCCCAGTGTCATGTGCTTCTGGCTCTGAGCCCAAGGGCGTGGAGCTGGGCGCAGTCCTCGGGCAGAGTTTCCGTTATGAGTTATCCCGGGAACATGTCCCTCAGCTGAAGAATATCTCCCTGACGTACTTGAAGGCGTCCTCATCTTCCTCGGGGCTGGTGCCGCAGGCAGGCTCCGAGCCTGCGGGCTCCTGGGGCGGCCCCGGGCCTGGGGGGAGGGCTGCTTCCCCGCTGTCCTCACCTTCACTCCTCTCGGGAGAGGGCGGCCCCTCCGAGCAGGTGGGGGGCGGCTCTGACACATCCGTGCCTGCCGGGGGCCGCTGCTCCAAGGCCCTGTCCCGTTTCCGGCTCTGGAGAAAGACCAGATGAAACACGTGTAAATTCACTTCCCTGCCGGGCCCGTGGCGGAGACCAGGCCCAGAAGCAGCGGTGAAGCCAGCGCGCGGACCGGGTCGGGCACGGCTCTCGCATCAGTGGCCGCTCCACCTCCTGCCCCCACCCCTGCCCGCCCTCCGCTCCCAGAGCTCTGGGAGAACCCAAGACCAACTGGAGAGAAGGGGGCAGAGGCCTGAGGAACACCGAAGCAGGAAAGAAAAATAAATACATCGGAAAAAGTTGGGGAGGCAGGGTGACAGCGGAAGGAACACTGGCACTTACGGGCTATGCAACTTAGGGGAAGTCCCTGCACCTCAACTTCTTCACTGGTAAAATGGGAATAATAGTATCTTGAAATAACTATAGCCCCAGGTTTATGGCAAGGATTAAATGAGAGAGTGACATATAAAATTACCCCGTCAGCCCTAGCCGGTTGCTCAGTGGTCAGACCATCAGCCCACGGCCTGAAGGGTCTCGGATTTGAGTCCAGTCAAGGGCATGCACTGAGGTGGCAGGCTCCATTCTGGCTCTGGTCAGGGCATGTGGAGGAGGCAACCAATCGATGTTTCTCTGTTCCCCCTCTTCTTCCACTCTCTCTAAAATCAATGTGTGTGTGGGGGGGGCGGGGGGGAGAGATATTCTCGAGAGAGGATTAACAAAACAAAAAATACTGGTCTGTTATAAGAGCTACCCAACCCTAAGGCAGTATGATTATTACTTGCTTCAAGAAGACGGGGGACCTCAGTGCTGTCCTGCCAGGCCTGCAGAGCCAGGGGACATAGTGTTCTCCTTCAGAGAACAATAGCAGGTCAAGACCGCCTGTCCCCGCTGCATTCACCCAGCACAGTCACCCACACAGGGCCGCTCTCCCTGCCCGGCCACCCCTCCCCAGGCAGCCAGCCCCAAACGCATGGCTGTGCACAGCTCACGGCGGGCAGCGTGGCCCGAGAGATTCATGAGACACGGGGCAAGCGGGAGAAGGGTGGACATGTGAGAGGGCTCCCCAAGGCTGTCCGAGAATTACTGACACGGACCAAGGGCCCAGTCTGGTTCAGCCTGTAAAGCGTTTGTGGTCAAAAGAGCAACAGCAGCCAACTGGTGTGGCTCAGCTGGAGGAGCATCATCCCATGTGCTGAAAGGCTGCCGGTTGATTCCCCTCGGGGGGGACATGCCCGGGTTGCCGGCTCGATCCTCAATAGGAGGCGTACAGGAGACTGCCGGAGAAATGTCTCTCATCAATGTTTCTCTCTCCCCCCCTCTTCCCTCCTCTCTCTGAAATAAAAACGTGTTTTTTAAAAAGGCCACAGTTGTCGAGCGTCGGTTTGGCTCAGCGGTAGAGCGTCGGTCTGCGGACTGAAAGGTCCCAGGTTCAATTCCGGTCAAGGGCATGTACCTTGGTTGCGGGCACATCCCTGGTAGGGGGTGTGCAAGAGGCAGCTGGTCAATGTTTCTCTCTCATCGACGTCTCATCAACGTTTCTAGCTCTCTATATCTCTCCCTTCCTCTCTGTAAGAAAAATCAATAAAATATATTTTTTTTAAAAAGAAAAAAAGGCAACAGTTGACTTTACCTCAATCAGGATCCCCAGGGCAACGTCGACAAGCTCGGCTTCACTCATGCAGTACACAGTCTTCACAGCGGGGAGTCTGAAAGAAAGGCACCCGCTGAGAGGGGGCAGGCAGGCAGGCAGGCAGGCGGCTCTCCCGTCTCCAGGGAGGAAGGAGAGCTCCATCCGGGGCCTTGCGCCAGGATGAGAGCACCAGCTTCCTCAGGGCATCAACCGGCTGCCTCATTCTTGGGACCAGTGACTAGCGTGGGGGGGGTGGGGGGAGAGAGTTGTCCTTGGAGGCAACAGTGGGGGCTTCCCAACTCTGCCAGCTCCCCCAGGGATTTAGAAACAAGGCTTGATGGCTACTCCCGAGAGCCAAACGGACACACGCATGCCTGTGGGCAGGTCAAATGGACCCCCAGGCCAAACCCACCTGACACCTGACTGAATGCGTGGACACAGGACGGAAAGGCTGTGCCAGGCAGAGAGGGAGGCTGGTCAGGTAAGAAACCTCGTAAGAGGAAGAGCAGGGGGGGCAGCACTGAGCACCCCATACCGGTACTGAGAGTTCAGGGGCATCTCCTCAGGACTAGCTCATCCACCTGCTCACCCACAGCCTCTGGTCCAGGCTGACGCGGGGGCTCGCTGCTCCTGTCCCAGGAGATCTGCCCACAGGAGGACTGATGGCCTGGCCCACTCAGCTTGCCCACTTGATGGCCACACTTAATGTTGCAAATGAAGGCGGGGGGCCATTTTAGACCCCTGGTGTTTGACAGCTTGGCTGATGTGTACAATCCCGAGAAGCTGGGGTGGATTGGGGGGAAATGGGAGTCACTATTTGAGAGTTGCAGGTTCACCAAGAGGCAGCGGCGTCTGCCTGGGTGAGCACAGCTCATTCAGCCTCCTGCATGCAGCCTGTGCGCCTCCTGAGAGCTGAAGAGACGGACTGAAGCGCCTGCCCGCCCGCCCGCCTCACAGTTCTGCCAGCGCTGGGATGGCCCTGGCTCAAGGGTGTCCCACCTGGCTGCAGCCGCCGGCACTACTGCCTTCCTCCTCTTCGGGGTCTTCATCGGGGGCATTCTGTCCTCGGGCCCCTGGGCTGTCATCCAGGAGGGAAGGACCCTCTTTTTATCCCCAGAATGGGAGGCTGCCATCTCCCTCAGCGCTGATGAAGGTCAGGGCCCTTGCTTCCTGGCTTGCTTTTCTGACCCGGGACAGCAAATCCCACTTTCTCCTCACACCAGCAACTGTAGGTCTGCTTGTCCTTGAATGGGAGTCAAGCTTTGATTCCTACAAAGAACAGAGCCCAGTGAATTCTAATATGCTCACAGGTGGCCCGGCTGGGGAGCAGGGCCCCAGACTCAGGCTGCTCACAGGGCAGCCAGGGAGGTGTGGCGGGGCAGCCCCAGACCCCACACCAGCGGGCCCAACAGCAATGCCTCCTGCTGAGCCTCTGACTGTGAAGAGGGATGAACACCCTCCGGGGAGAAAGGCGAAAGGAGGAGCCGCCCTGCTGGCCACCCCAGGAACTCACGGTGCCCAGGGTGCCCCATCTATCTTACCCCTAAAGTGTCTCCCAGTGATCTCTCTGGGCTTCTCACTCCCTCTCTCTTGGTGTGCTTACAAGAAACCGAGGCCATTTGATTCACAATAAGGTTGCGTTGGCCAGCCACCCCTCCCTCAATCCAGAGCTGCTTCTGACCATTTAGGGCTCAGGGGCAACAGTGCCCGCTTCGGAAGTGAGGTCCAGAAGGGCCCACCAGCCCCAGCTAACTTGGCCTCCCCTGCCTCCCGGAGTGGATTCCACCTCGGCCCCAAGTCTCCTCCTACCCCGCGACCCACCCGAAGGCTCAGGAGCCTGCCTTCCCTGGAGCAGCCAGGAGGAGCTGCTCCTTCTGCTGGGAAGCTGCTCTCTCCCCCTGGGAGCAGCTCCCCCGGGAGGGCCGCACTCCCCCTCCAGACCCGTGGGGACCGCCCTGGAGGGGCCGTCGCCCAGAGGAGGAGGTTCCTCTCCGAAGCAGGCCTGATCGTTTCCTGCTCGACTAGAAGGCTGGTCACCACGTCAGAAAAGCAATAGCCGGACATCATGCTAACCGGCCCGGGGGCAGCCCTCTGCCAGGGGCTCGCTTCTGTCTACAGTCAGCGGTCATCAGTCACTCCCGCCCCGAGCACCGCTGGGCTGGCCGCCAGTCCGCGCAGAGCCGCTGATCGGCCCCGAGGCAGAGACCAGAAGCCCGTTTCACAGGCGGGGAACCGAGGCCCAGCAAGTTCCACAAAGTCACACAAATCTTGGAAACTGCAGCCGAGTCCTGCAGGCTCCGGACCCCAAGCACAGAGGCCGCGCTCGCGAGGGGAAAGGCGGGCTGCGCAGCGAGCAGAGGAGCCGGCACCCGCTCCAGCCCGCCTGGCTCCCCCGTCCCCCCGTCCCCGTCCCCGCCCCCGCCCCGCTCCCGGGGACCAGCTGGGCAGGCGGATTAGGGTGGTCGTGGGGTCCGGCCTTGGCCCGCACGCACCTCCCGTCTCAGCCTCCCGGCGCCCGCACGCTCTCCGCACTTCCGGTTCCTGGCCGCGAGCGAGGAAGCCCAGGCGCGCCCCCTGCAGGCAGCTCGCGGTGTCAGCGCCCCAGGCCAGCGGATGCAGGAAGCCGGCCCGCTGTCCGGGGTCCTGACAGTCCCCCTTTGACCAAACTCCGATCGGGCTCTGCTGAACTCCTCTCCACTAGGCCCTGACGTTTGGGCTTCTGTGTTCATCTCCACATTGTCCAGTTTTAGCAAGAATCCTGCTAGATTGGTTTGGCCAGAGGCTCCTACCCTCGATATTTGATCACCCTAAAAGCTGATGAGGTTCCTGATCCTCCACTTACCCGCCCCCCCAGATGATGTCTGATCACCCAGATTGCCTTGGGCAAGAATCCTGTTAGGTCAGTGCAGGTGGGTTTAGCCAGAATCCACCTTTACCTCCTCCTAGTAATTTTCCATCCACTGACCCCCAAACCTGCTCCTTGGCTATAAATTCCCACTTTTCTCTATGGCATTGGGAGTTGGGCCCAATCTCTCCCCCACTACAAAACACCACTGTAGTAGCCCCCTTGAATAGTTTGCCTTACTGTCCCTTAATAAGTGTTGTAATTTTTTTTTTTGTTTAACAGAATGTTTTAAGTCACATGTGTCAAACACAAGGCCCGCGGGCCAAATCCGTCCCGCCAGGCCTTGCAATGTGGCCCGCACCGCACTGTCATCACTGCACTCCGCTGCGTTTCCATCACAATGACAGTTTATGACTGTTCAGTAAACCATTCGGCCCGCGATTTAGGCTGAATTTTAGATTTTGGCCCCTTCTCTGATTGAGTTCGACACCCCTATTTTAAGTCCTCAAATGTGGCTCCATTTGAGTTTTGCTGGCTCGTCTTTATTAAAGTGTGGATTCCCAAGCCCCCAGAATGAGACATTAGTGGGGAGGGAGGGAAATGTGATTTACCACCAATCAGCTAAGCTAGATATATAAAAGGCTATCTGACAGGTAGCTATGACACACATTGACCACCAGGGGGCAGACGCTCAACACAGGAGCTATCAAAACACGCACTGGCCATTTAAAAATAAATGGTACCACCGAAACTCGTTTGGCTCGGTGGGTGGAGCGTCGGCCTGCAGACTGAGGGGTCCCAGGTTCGATTCCTGTCAGGCGCATGTACATTGGTTGTGGGCGCATCCCTGGTGGGGGTGTGCAGGAGGCAGCTGGTAGATGTTTCTTTCTCATCGATGTTTCTAGCTCTCTATCCCTCTCATTTCCTCTCTGTAAAAAATAAATAAAAATAAATAAAAATATATATTAAAAATAAATAAATGGTACCATGGAGCTGGTGCCAACAAATTAACACTCACCTTACCCCAAGTGAAACACAGGCCCTGCCACCATCCCAGAGTGACACCCCACCAAATCACAGCTGACACTGCCAAGACCCCATGACGCAAAATGCGGCCCCCAGCCCGGAAACGGTCAGTGGATGCCAGATAATGACACATAGCAACAGGTGGATTCCTCTCCCTAGGGACTAGCCTCCTTGGAGTTTCTTCAGCCCAGGAACATGACTTGCTTTATAGCCAGGTGCAAACATTTTACAATTTAACCAAATGTTTGTGATGCTTTTTCCAATGCCTCATCTCATTTGATTCTCACAGGTAGATAGGAGTCTCAAGAGAATCCTATTTTCTTTTCATTAGCAAGACACAAATAGGTATTAAAATATTTCTTCTAATTAATTTCCTTTCAATCTGCATGAATCAATGCACTGGGACACTAGTAATAGAATAATACTCTCCATATATTAGAGAGGCACGATAGGGGAGCTTGAGCCAAGGTTTGGAGACCGGACTCTTGGAGCTAGGAGCATACCTCTCCACCTGTGCTATTTCTCCAAAGCACTTTCACCTCTCTCCTGAATATTCATTTCAATCTCAGGGAAGTAGGCTGGGAACATTTAAATCAATCAAGGCTTGATTTATTTAACCAATGGAGCATTGGTTAAACCTGGGCTCCACCTCCCACCTCTGGAGAGCATCCCACAGGGGCAGGGACTGCTTTTCCAGTTTCCATGAAGGTTCGAGAGCCACTGACCTCTCCCCTCTTCTGTTCTCACATGCTGTGAGCCAGGACAAACCCAACTCTAATTGGTGGAGGAGACGCCTTGTTTTGTTTTGCTATTAGTAGAACTACTCCTTTCATATTCATCTCCTTACAACCTCTTCCCACAGCCAGCTGAAAAACGAGGTCTGAGGAGCAGGAAGCCTGTGTGTCCGCACAAAAAGCTTCCTGTTTGAAAGGTGAGAAGCCCAGGCAGGGAGAAACCTGAGCTGTGGGATTTGGATGCAGGAGTCAGTTCCTGCAGTTTTGAATGCCGTGCTCAGGGAGCCTAAGGCCTGGCAGCAGGAGCGCGAAGGTCCCAGAACATGAGGAAAATGCACCTGGAGGCTCTCACCAGTCAGGCCCCACACCTGCGTCAGGCATGCAGCCTCAGGGGGCGGGGGAACCGAGGCTGGACTAGCTTGATGGTTGCCTTCTAGCTGCCTTCGCCCAAGATAATGGAAGAGTCTCGCTGGGGTCTTGGATAGATGCTGAGCAGGTATTATGAAGGGAAGGTAAATCTACCTTTGAATCCTGGAGGGGAGTGGGTGGGACAAGGAGCACCACCAGGATGAGACCATCAGGCTAGTAAGCACTCGGGATGCAGTGACGTCGGGGAGAGACAGGCCAGGAGGGGGCAGGGTTGTCCGCAGCACACAATACTGCATTTACTAATTTCTACAGGTCAGAGGTTGGCAGTGTTGGGGTTCTGTTGTTAGGAAAGGTTGTTTGGTTCTGTGTGGTGGAATCCTCTGCCATCCCTCCTGGTGGGGCCTCGGCCACATCTAGCGGTGAGCCAAGCTCAAAGCAAAGAGGAAGGTGGGTGTCCAGCCCACAGAAAGGAAATGAGAGAAGAGACAACTTTTAAGTGTCCCTTGTTTCTCCAAAATCCTCACAAATGTTTCAGCAAGCTGTGGAGTCCGTATTGAGAAGGGAGAATGGATAAGACAGAGAAAAATGTGCACTCTCTCACTCAAATGAAACGTGGCTTTTTAAATGACCTAAAGCAAGTATGTCAAACTCAAAGGCTAACATGGAGCAAATAAATAAGACATGCGGCCCATGGGCCTCCAGTTTGACATGCTCGACCTAAATCATCACTGGGGGAGATAAGTAAGGTTGCTGTTTCAATGCAGAAAATGGAAAAAATTATACATGAAAAAAATTTTGGTTTTCTTCATTTGAAGGAAGGATTACCAGGATAGAAATCGGTAAAAATGTATAACTACTTATTACCAAGTCTCTGGTGTTTTCTCAGAATTGAAAAAATATTTATCTCCTTAAAACCTCTCCTCACAGCCAGCTGAAAAGTGAGGTCTGAGGAGCAGGAAGCCTGTGTGTCTTTGAAAAAATTCTGAGAAAACACGACTTCATAATAAGTAGTTACACATCCTCGGGGATAGGAGCGAGGAGGAGGTGTGAGCAGACGCTGTTCACAAATACCTCCCTGCTTTCGCTCAAACTCCCAGCAGAAGGAAGCCAAGGCTTTCATACCCATTTACTCATGGCTTTCCAAAAGCAGGAAACTGGGAGTACCCCTCCTCCAGACCAGTGCCCCATGACTGGGCTGTAGCCCAGAGAGACCCTACGTGACCACTCCCAGCAGCTTGGCAGCTAGCCACCGCGAAGCTGATCAGCTGACCGAGCCTCACTGCCTCAGACAGAAATGGAAGAGGGGGGAGGGAGCCCTTCTCTCATTCTTCCTCACCCTGTGAGAACACTGGTCTATTCAAGGCCCCACCCCAGCCAGGGAGCAGAAGGCAGGACAGACACAGGCAGGGCTGTGGGCACAGGGGGGATGAACTTGGCCAACTCGATCCAGTCCTTTAGCCAGTCGCCAGCAGAGGGCTGGCTCCAGTCAACCTCAAGCATGTGAAGCTGATTGAGAGGACCAGGGACAGGTGCTGGGAAAGGCCGCCACCAGGTGGAGGGCAGCCAGGAGCAAAGCCGCAGACTCTGCCGTCGTCCACAGAAGCTTCTGTAACAGAAGCACCAACGCTCAGAGAGACAGGAATGCTGCGGCTCCCCGTCTGTGGCCCAGAGAAACAGGAACAGCACAAACCTTAGCCAGTGGAACAGAGGAGAGGGCATCCTCCTGCCGCAAAGCAACAAGCAAACATCGCACGGGGCTCAGCCCCACGCCAGTGAGGGTGAGGCAGGGCCGGGGTGGAGGCCTGTGGCAGTAAGGGTGAATGGAGCGCCCCGCTGCACTCACACACTCCCAAACGGACACCAGGTAACCACAAGAGCATTCTTTTTTTTAAAAAAAGAAGAAACCGAGCAAACGTATACAAAATACTGTCATCTCTCCTGGGCCAGCAGGGCCGCCATCACAGTGCTTCACCTGCAGTGTTCGGAACGCCTGAGCTCTGTCCGCCGTGTGGACGCTCCTGGCACCGCCCGGCAAGCCGGTCTCCGGGCACCGCGCACCACTCCTCCGGCTCACAGCGCCCGAGCCCCCAAGCAGCCTTTCCCTGAAGATGCCCCGCCCGGGCAGGGAGCGGAAATGGAGCGCCTGCCCTCCTGCTTCCTGCCTCCCCGCCCCGGGGATGACGGCTTCCGGGGGAGTTCTGGGGCAGGTGCCCTCAGGCTTTATGGGCCAGGAGGGTGGTCAGCTTGATCTTGCCATCCATGGAGGCGGTGAGGCAGGTGCCGCAGTCCATTGCCGTGCTCCAGTCCACCGTGACCACGGGGGCTCGGTGGCCACCCAGGCTCAAGCAGCTCTCCAGAACCTTCTCGTCCCCGCCCAGCTGTAAGGGGACAGGAGAGGAGGAGGTGTGAGCAGATGCCGTTCACAAATACATCAAGTTCTCCACCAGCCACCTCGAGCCTGGGGCTGCCACCCCAACCTCGGGATGTGACAGGCACACACGCGCCCCCTTCCGGAAAGCCTGTTTAATTTCTTAGACAATAAAATACCTTCCTTGTTCTGACTAGAGTTATTCCTTCACCTTACGTGCAAAACAAGTCCCTGAAATGCTCTAAAA